CTAGACTCCAGTGAACGAATTTACACCGAAGGACATTTGGGTACAAATGCCTGAAGGACTTAACATGTATGGTAGGATACATGAGGTCCAGTGGAAGGATGGGGGAGGTATGATCAGGGAGGGGTTCTACATTTGTTTAAGAACTGTTGTATGAAATTACAAAAGCTCAATTAAATTATAATCCAATAGGGCTAGAGAGATGGCTCAGCAGTTAAGATCACTGGCTGCTCTTGCAGAGGACCTGGGTGTGATTCCCAGCCGCACATGGTGGCTAACAGCCATCTGTAACTCCAGTTCCAGAGGATCCAATGCCCTCTCTGACCTCTGTGGGCATTATACAACATGGGTGCACTTACATACAGACAGGCAATAAACTCATACAAAAATATAATATTAAAAACAATGATACCTGTGCTTTCCACTCCACTGACAATATTTGTCTTTTCACCAAGGAGGGGGCATCTAAGGTAAGAGCTTATTTCATCTCACCGTGGATCTAAACCTTGATCAAGTCAGATGTTTTTGGTGGATGGTACTTTCTTGTCATGCTGTTGCTCCCATTTTCCATGACTTGACAAATATTTGGAGACCAGTGTCAACAGGTTACAGGTGCCTGTTCTCTTGTCTTCATGATGCTCTCTAAATTTGGGGATACACAGCTGGGCCGCCCTCCTGCAAGTTAGCTACAAACATTTGCAACTCTAAGTCCATCCCTAACTCCAGACCATCAGGAAAAAGACCAATTGTAAAGTGAACTGTACTCCAGTTAACTTTAAGATACCTTAGATGCTATGAAAGTTCAATAACATTAGGCTACTTAAATGAGTTTACTTTGTCATTTTAAAACAGAATGGTTGCCTGTGCTGAGTCATAGAGTTTTCCGACAACTGAGTTTTCTCATCAGTGAATGGGTGGGTTTTCCTAGCCTCATAAGTCTGAGTGCATGAGAACTTTGGTTAAATGCAGAGTATACACCACTCATGATATTTGAAAGCCACAGCTAATGTGACCTGGTAGCAGCCTCTTCGGGCTTATCCGTCCCTGCCTCAGGCTAATGGAAGGGCTTCTGACCCAGTCTCTGGAGAGATACAGCGTAGGCGTTACCACTCCCTGTGGACTCTGCTTTCTGAACTCCCTTGAGTCCATAACATTCTTGTGAGGCGCTGGTTCACACCTCCTTCCAGAGAGATGCAGGCAGCGTTGTTCCTGGTCCATCAGCTCTGTAGTGCTGTGCATACAGTCATTGGTGTGCCCGTTGTCCACTAGGCTAGAACATTGTAAAAAGAGGTGCTGAATGCCAGTCCTGAACAGGCAAGAGGGAGACCTAAATTGCAGCTCTAAGTGTAAGTGCTGGAACGGGTCCTCGAAGCTTCATGTCCATAACGATTGGCATTTGAAATGCAGGCTGAACTTTTTGTCTCTATGCTGTCAGTTTGCCTTCTCTTTTCTTCAATGTATGTTTTATTGAATTTTTGTGCATTTCATACAGTGCATTTTAATCATACTTAGACCCCTCCCCTTTTTTGTACCCCTCCCCAGCCCTGCCACTGGATTTTGTGCATTCTGTCATATATTAAAGTCTATCCAGTCAAGTTTGGGTACCCAGATTTCCCTCAGTGAGAGTTCATCCACTGGAGCCTGGCCAGCTGATCTAGCACCACTCCTAAAGAAGACCAACTCTCCATCACCCAGCAGTGATCAGCTGCTCACAGTCTCCTCAGCTAAAGTTGGGGCTTTTTTTCCATTTCCCCATCTCTATGCTGGTTTTTGTCTAGGTTGAGTTTGCATGGGTCTTCTGCATGTTGTCACTATTGCTGTAAGTTCATATGAGCAAGTTCCCAGAAGCCTAGAAAACTTTCCTTGTGGTCATCCACCACCTCTGACTCTTACAATCTTTCCACACCCTCTTCCACAATGGTCCCTGAGCCCTGCATGGGCAAGGCTTGATATAAGCGTTGTATTTAGGCACACACACCCTGCAGTCACTTATTCTCTACATTTTGGTCAGTTGTGGCCTTCTGTGTTAATCACCCTTTGTTGCAAGAGGAAGCTTTGCTGGTGAGGATTGAGAGATGCATCAGCATTCTCTCTGCTCTCTGTTCCACTATGTTCCATGAGCCTTAGGTGTAGAGGTTACATTGTAGATGTGTCACTTAGGGCTGGGTATCTCATGAATACTGTCTTAGTTTCTTTCTTCATTGCTGTCACAAAACAGCCTGACCACTACCAACTTGGGGAGGAAAGGGTTTATTTATCTTACATCTCCCGGGTCACAGTTCATCAGGGAGCCCAAAGTAGGAACTCAGGGCAGGAACCTGGAGGCAGGAGCTGGAGCACAGGCCATGGAGGAATGCTGCTCACTGGCTTGCTCCCCTGGCCCCTGCTCAGCCTGCTTTCTTATGCAACAGGCCCACCTGCCCAGGGGTGGCACCACCCATAGAGGGCTGGGCCCTCCCACATCACTCAACAATCAAGAAAATACCCCACAGATATGACCACAGGCCAGTCCAATGGAGGAAATTCCCCAATTGAGGCTCTCTCAACCCAGGTGTGTCAAGTTGACACTAAAGCTATCCAGCACAAATACTTATTCTCTGTGTGTGATCAGTTATAGAACTCTGTTTTTCTATTGCTGTGATGTAACACTCCCACCAAAGCCAACTTGGGAGCCAGGGGTTTATTTGACTTATAAGTCCTGATCACAGCTCATCAAGGAAGGAAGCCAGGGCAGGAGCTCAAGTAGGAACCGGGAGGCAGGAGCCAAAGCACAGACCATGGAGGAGTGTTGCTCACTGTCTTGCTCCTCTTGCTGTGCTCAGCCTGCTTTCTTATGCAACACAGGACCACTCAAAAAAGTTCCTGAAACTAACAAGACACACATAATCTCTAAGACTATGGAAACAAAGCTGTGGGGAAACCTGCTGGTGATGCAGCTGCCTTCAGTTGTCTCCTGTAAGTAACCCTTCCTCCGTATTCCTGTAAGTATTCCCAATAAGCTCATTGGTTCAAGTTGGATGTTAGTGTAATTGTTTGGTTTTTCTTTGTCGGAGGTAAGTAAGGTAAGTAGATGTTTGTGTCATGTCTCTCCAGAAATGTCTCACGCCTCATCACCTGAGCACATCTGTGAACCTCCTTGTAAAATTCTGTTTTAGCAAAAGAGCCTTAGTGTAGCAAGAACCCCTCCCATTCTCTTTATCTGATCATTAGATTCACATCTTCCCCCTCCCCCAGGGAGTGCTGGATCACCTGATTTGTCTTCAGCCCAGATGCTGCCAGGTGAGTTTAGCTGGATCCCTGTACCCTGGTGTTTCTTTCCTTCAGGTAACTTCATGTGTACACCACCAACCTTGCTCGTTGGCTCGAATTTCTCACTTGCCCAGGCTGGCTGTACTTAAAGCCTGATCTGGATCTAGGGCTGAAAGACCCCACTGCAGTGATCCCTACACCTGCAGCCCTCAGACATGCTCTGTTTTCCTGTTGTTGCTGTGATACAACACTGACCAAAAGCAGCTTAGAGGAGGAGAGGGTTTATTTGGTAATCACTTCCAGGTCACAGTCCCTCACTGAGGGAAGTCAGGGCAGGAACATGAACAGAAACCATGGAGGAATGCTGTTTTCTGGCTCTCTCACAGGCTCATGCTCAGCTAGCTTTCTTAGACAGCTCAGGACCACCTGCCCAGGGATGATGACACATGGTGGGCTGAGCCCTCCTATATCAATTAACCATCAAGACAAACTCTCATACCCTTATACACAGGCCACTTTCTTCTGGGAAATCCCTCAGTTGAGACTCCCTTCTCAGGTGATCCTAGGCTGTGTCAAGGTAAAGCTCACTAGGACACTGTGTTTAAAAGCGTCATTAGTAAAGTTTTCTTTTAATAATAACGAAAGGCCACCCACTGAAATTGAGGCTAATAAATCACACCTGAGTAGCTGTGAGCAGGCTTTTTACAAAGGAATGATTTCAGTCTGGGTTAAGCTTTAGCAGAATTCCCGTGATAACTGGTGGCAAGTACTTTCACCTTCCCGGTACCTACCATATTACCTATGCAAGGCTTGCAAAGTCAATGACCCTCAGCTGACTTCTTGTGCCTTGTCTTTGGAAAGGCTGGAGGAGAGCCAGTGGACTGCAGAGGGTTTATTTAGATTTTATTTTTGCTAATGTTTTCATGAGGACAGAAACATTACTAGGCATGCCTTCGGGCCGTCTGCTCATGCAAGAAGGCTGAGGACCCTCTGCTTCACAAGAGGGGTAGTGCCCTGTCTCCAAGCTCAGGGTTGATGCCTGCCTCTCCATGAGATTCCTAATGAGGCCCAATTCTTTGAGTCTTTGGGTCATAATGGGAAAGTTTCTGGCCTTTTTCTGACTCATGGTCCACTTGGACAATCTTGCCTAGGGAGAAGGGATGTGTTCTCAGGGGAAAGGAGGAAGGAGGGTTCATGGAACTGAGGGAAAGCTGGACAGAACTGTCTGAAATCCTGCCTGGGAGCTCTGTTAGGTAGTTACCACCGGATGTCTCCAGAAAAGAAAAGCATTTCAAGTCACCAGCCAATAGCAGGTACGCATAGACAGAACTACCCAGGGATGGGGGAAGGGTGTTCCTGCTTCCACTGTCCTGTCATGTCCCCCCACCTTCCATCCAACACCTCACAGAGGACTCCACCTCTAGTGCCACAGTTACCACCACTCTGCTCCTGAGAGTGTCCTGCCTGCTCACACTTGAAAGTTGGCATGTTTGGACATGCTGAGGTACATGTGTGGGCCGTTGCTTTTATTTGCTTTACACCTTTTCATCGTACTTGTTCGGCAAACGTTTATACACGTGGACGTCCTGTTTCTATTGGAGAGCATCACCCTGGACCCTCTGCAGCCGTCCTCTTCCTCAGTTGCCCTCTCCCAGGGTGTGACCTGAAGGCGGGGGGTGTGAAGCACCACCCTACCCCCACCCAGCCTCTCAACCTGCCCTGTAGCCAAGCAGCAGTTGCCAGGCAACAGCGAGTGCAGACGCCAGGCAGGACAAAGGCGCCCTGTGGCGAAGCGCTGGGCCTGGGCTCCTGGGCGGGAGGGAGCGATGGACCTGAGCAAGGTGAACGAGGCGGAAGAGGAGGAGGAGGAGACCATCACCGCCGATGCGCTGCGGGGCAGGCCCCGGCCTCTGCCCATCTCTGCCATGCCGGCCTTCAGCTACATCCCGCTCCGGCGCGAGGACCCCAAGGAGCTCAGCTACTTCCTCCGCCAGCGCCAGGTGAGAAGCCTTCGCCATGCAGACTGGGCTGGGGAGAGGAGGGGGGGCCACCCTGCAGGGGCGACGCGGGTAGCAAGGGAGGGTCGCAGAACACTGTGGGGCGAGGGGTTGGGGCCTGGCCCCTAGGATGGTGCCAAGGACGAGCTGCCAAGTGTTGGGGACAAGGTCTGAAGCGTAGGGTCTCACTGTTGGGGGGTCGGGAGCCTAGGTGTTACGGCAGGGCCCACAGATCTGGCCACAATGGTGGGGCTCTCTGGAGGGTCAAAGGAGCCCTGAGGCGGGGTTGCTTGATCAAGAGCTTGGTTCTGGGCCATAAGTTGCACTGTTCTGGATTTGAGGTCTGGGGCAAGGCTGCATGGAGGTGGAGGGGCTGGAGAGATGCGCAGACACTAGGGGCCAGCCTGGTTAGCAGGCAGGAGAGGTGGGGTGAACTTTGGCTGAGGCACAAGGACCCCTCTGAGGGAACATGACCACCACATAACCACAGCCCCTTAGGAAGGAGGATGGGCAGGGTGAGCCTCATGCCCGTGAGTGTGCTCTGCAGTCAGGAGCTGGGAGACCCTGAGTCATAAGGGAACAGCCAGAGCTGAGTTGGGCCCTGGTGTTCAGAGCAATTCCTGGCGAGCTGATCTATAGTACTCTTTCCCGAAAGGTGGAGGAGCCACTATGTGTCCGCACTCCTAAAGAGCAGCTACTACCAGAACACTAGGTCACCCTCTCTGCCCTGGATCTGGTGAAGGGTCACTGAAGGGCTGGAGATGCCTGGCTGAGTGGGGCTCAGCTTCCTGGGGGTCTGCAGCTTCAGGTCCTGTGACTCCAGTGACATGTTGATAAGGTCCAGGGTGTGGGAAATACCCACCTGTTAACTGAAGAAAACAATGAGAGGTGCAGTGTGAGACAGTTGGACTGGGAGTGGTGGTTGATTCCTGCCTGGTACCACTGAGCACTTGATGCACCTGGAAATGGCTCTGTGGTCTACCGCAGCCATCGAGCAGAGCCGTGCCTACCAGCCACCAATGCAGAAGCAGCAAGTTCAGACCTCCTGGAATGTCTGTTCTTGCCTTTCACCATTAGACAGTTGCTAAACCTCTTCAGTATGTCTAGCTTGGAATGCACGAGGCAGGGTGCCATTACTAAAAATGCACACTAAATAGGTGTGCTTGGCTCCAAGAAGTAATTGAGGACTTAGCTGCCCATCTTTTTGCTATCCTGTGGCACTCATGAGTTGCTCCAAAGAGGGAAGTGACTTAGCCAAGTGCCGGAGAGGAAGCAGTTTATTCCTTCATAGCATGGCAAGCATTCCTATAAAATATGGTCTTCCTATCCTCCTCGGGCTGGCAATCCCAAATAAACCCCCTTCCTTGCCAGCAGATACAAAGTGTCAAGCACACATGGTGCTCAGCCTTCCCAGCAATGGGAATCTTTCTTGATTTAGAAAACTGTTAGTGTCTGAACCAAAATTCACCTGGTCGAGTCCTGATGCCTAGTACCACAGAATGGGAACTTATTCATAGGCTTCTAAAGAGGTAATCAAATTAAAGTGAGCTGTAGGGGTGGTTCCTAATCCAGTGTTCTTGGTGTCCTTATGAGAAAGGAAGTTTGCGTGGCAGACTTGCATAAAGGAGGAAAGCTATGAACAGACACGTGAACACAGCCAAGTACGAGGCCTGGAAGAGAGCTTCCTTCACAGCCTTCTTGTAGGACTCACCCCGAGGGCTCTTGATCCCTGCTGCTAGCTGCCAACACCATGAGACAATATATGGCCATGGTTTAAGATCCCTAGACTGTGGGGCTATTCTGGCAGCTCTGTCACACTAAGATAGCAACCATAAGTCCCAGCCTGCTCTCAGGAGGGTCTGTCGTACCTAAGGACACCTCTGATTGAGCAATATGGAAAGACAGAAGGAACAAGTTGCCGGGGGGGGGGGGGTGGGACGAGGGTTGTCATGGGTTTGGGCGGAGGGTTAGGGTTG